ATATACTTAAATATATATATATATTTATATATATATATGTATATATGAATGTATGTATGTATGTATGTATGTATGTATGTATGTATGTATGTATGTATATATATATACATATATCATGTATTACATCACATTACATACAAGCTAGCGCAACTATCTTAAGCTGAATAACGATAAATTGGTCATGTTCATATACACATATATACACTTATACATATAGTCATATGCATATACAGGTGATACTGCATTATGTCTAATTGTTTGTATAGATACGTCATACGAGATATAGTCATACATACACAAAGCCAGCAGAGGACAGGGCCCGTTCTTGCTCTGGCACATAAACGAAACCACGCTGTCCCGCCAGAGTGTCTTTCTCATCACAAATACTTCGTTGCTATCCTTCATCAGTTCTGTCTTTTGCTCACTATTTTCCTTTTCGACTCCATCAGTCCCTGCCTTCACAGCTTCTTCGTTGCCTTGATTTGCTGCATCTGTATATGTAGCTACCTGGACACTACTTTCAATATTGCTATTGTCCTTAGGGTGATCTGATATCTCTAGGAAGTTCGCACTGCGTTTCACTAGTGGCGCTTCCACGGCAATTGGCTCTTGTATGGGTTTGGTAGCACTTTCACATTCAACCTCCTCAATATTGCTGTCTGCTACACTATCATCAACCACACTAACCTCTGTGTTTTCACTCACATCGTCGACGCCTTCTTCAGCTGCCTTATCATCACTCACAGTGGTTTCCGTGGTCATACTATCCTCTGTCACAGATTTACTTTTACTTGACACATCTTTGGCGGTGGTAGTAGTATCAGCCATACTTTCTTCACTATTCATATTCATCCTTTCTGTCTCGTGTGACACATCTGCCAATTCTTACGACTCTAAGTCAATTTATTGCTCAATAAGTTCTGGATTATCCTTTCAATCCAGAATCAACATGACCCGCTGCCTCCCGATGATGTAGCTTGATATGACTAACAACCACTGTACCTCTTATCACCATTTATCCTAATGAGGGCATAAAAGCCAAAAGGCGTTTGTGTATTTATTCAGTACAGAAATATCAGAATATTTAAGCCTGCCATGACAAATGACTCCATGAGTCTTCACTTATCACGATTGATACTCCGTACAGTATTTATGTATGTGACGTACAAATATTTTTCTATTGTCTTTAAAAAAAACAAAACTTATAACTATTTAGAAATAGACGTTTATACCCTCTACAAATCGAATGCGACTGGGCCGAATCTACATCGACCGTGGCCGCTATGGATATACTATATGGCAACATCTTTTCTGATACTCGCGGGGCTATCTTCCATGTCAGATATCTAACTCTCCGTCCGGACCCAGCCCATCTCGTATTTTGTTTGTTTTATGGTCCAGTCGCTAGTCTTTGGCAGTGCGTACATCTCCTTAAGATGCGACAGTGAAGCCTTCGCTGCTGCACGAGTATGGACACCTCCAGTATCTTCGAGTTGTAGGAATCCATGCGTCACCTTGTCGGCCACATGCAAATGCACCTCACCGCCAGCCCGTCTCAGTTTGCGTGCAAAATCGATCGAGTCGTCTAACAAGGGGTCATTAGTGCCAACAACAATATAGGTAGGCGGGAGCTTGCTCAGAATATCATCAGTGGCATGCCAAGGAGATAAAAGGGCTGAAGGTGTCTTTTCTTGATCGTCAGGGATGTAGGCGCCCATGGCGATGGCGAACACGCTGAGCGGGAGCAGAATATCTGCCGCTGCATTCAAACGCGCAGGTGATAGGACCTTTTTCATACATACAGCTGGATAGGTTGCCTGCAATGCTTTAGGTGGTGGTAATCCCTCTTGAGCAATTTTCAGTCCCAAAGCCAATGTCAAATTTCCGCCAGCGCTATCGCCTGATATGCAGATGTTGTTGGGGTCATGACCCATCTGGTGGGCGTGTTGCAACACCCACGCATACATGTAGAAGCATTCGTCTAGCGCAACAGGAAACTTGGCCTCGGGTGCGAGTGAGTAGTCGATGCTGACCACCATCACGTTTAATTGCTGAGCCCACTTCTTCAGGTATGCCTGGTGACTTCGCGAAGTTTGTGCCACGAATCCTCCACCATGTATATGGAACAGAATGCCCGGTCTGCTAGTGCTTTCCTTAGCAGCACGCTCCATATGATCAGCTGAGGGAATCACGGGTACACCGGGAGCTTGACCCTTACTCCACACTATCGGTATCTTATTCATAAAAGCTGCTTGCAGCTTATTCAACGGCAACGTTTCAAACGTACCAGAACTTTTCTGGGTACGAATCACGCGAACTGTTAATTGATCCAGTATTGGCGCTGGAACAGTGAATTCGACTGACTCGGTCTCAAGTGGTGTGCTGAGATCTTGCTCACTCTCTTTATCCATATTTGACACCGAGCGCTTGTATGAGAGTTTGATGTCATCTCTAGAGCACATGTGGAAGCGCCGGGACACTCCAGCGTACGGGGCTTTAATCTGCACAACGTGCTTCATAACAAGTGTTTCGAATACATTCCAGAAGTCCTTCAAAAATAGCATATCGCCTTTCTGGAATTCTGTGACAATCTTTGATGCCCGCAAGTCCGCATTGAGAGCGTACACGGGTAAGGTGGCACTAGTTGTCACCTTGGTCAATACCTGTACATCTCTACCCAGTATTCCACGGTTGAAGCTATAACTCGCGGTGAATGCCAACATGAAATCCATCGTTGCACGTACGGCACCTTCACAGTGGAGCGCTTTCATCTGGCTATAAAAGCAGGTCTTGTCGATAATAGATATCTTTTCCCATAGTGCCAAATTCTCTGCTAGACCTCTGTCGTTGAACAGTAAGTGTTCTTCATCCGCAATGGCCTCACATGTAAGAGAGATATCCAGGATTTCGCTCTGAGTTTTGAGCAGTAGTATCATTCTGGATATAGATTTAGTTGGATAGGATTCGCATACGATTTTAGCAGCTTTTCTTAGATACCTCAGAGTATACGCTATATTTGAACGAAAACCATTCCCCGGAGTGTCTTCGTCAAGGTCGAACTTGTGCATAAAGCTCGCTATTTCCCTCACCTTCGGGTTTATTGTGTCTCTGATAATCTTTTCGAGTTCGAGTAGCAATTTAAGGTCTTTCGATTTGCGCTCTACTGCTCGTAAACGGAAAGAACTCACTACACCAAGATAAGCATCTAAACGCTCCTCTACTTCCTTTGCATTGATACACGCCATTGTCAAGGTAGATTAAAGATTTTATATAGATGCTTTCAATAATGGACGATTTCGCAGAGATCACATCAATTATATAGTACAGGAACCTAGGAGAGTATAGGCTTTCAAAAGTGGTTAATTCTCATTTGTTTAGAGGTTCGGACACGGATCGACCTAAAATTAAGTGGTGAGCGAGGATTGAAGAACTTATAATTTTTGACTTTTGGCCTTGGTTGACAAAGTTGGGCAAATATCCTAGACTTACGTATATCAATACAGAAAAGTTCTATACGACACTAGTGACATCAAAATATATATAAAAAACGTTCAAGGTTCATTGACAAAAGTCCAAGGAACGAGGGTGCCGCGGAGCGGCGGAGGACAAATCATCAAAGGGGCAGTATCCCAATGCCCATATTAAGTATATGATAAAATCGACTTTTAACAACATGCCTAGTTTTTTACTGGCCATTGGCCAATCCTGGTGATTGCACTCCTTGGAGTCTTTGCTCGCCAAATCTGAAATCTATTTTAGTTTTTAGTATTTTCTGTACAGTATGGAGTCTATGGACTATGGTCTTTGGACAGTGCTTGAACTTTATCCTACATTTGACGATTTTTGAGTCTTGTGGGCCCAGTTTAATTAAAAAAATGGCTAAATAATTGAACGTTTTCAATTTCCAGTCCGAAGTTGTACGGGTTGTACAATGTAGTATGTACGGTGTACCGGGTACCGTATAACCGTAAGTTGTACGGCGTTTAGTATAGCACGCGGAAAACCGGGAAAAGTAAATATGTGTTGCGAAATTCTGGGTTTGGTATGTTGTGAGTGATGGCCTTGGGTGGCGACTGGCGACTCCGCGACTGGCGTCTGGCCGACTGGCGGGTGCCAACCCGCCACCCGGGGTCCGGGCTATCACTGTACAAATCTCAAGTGAGTATCAGAAATTCAGCAGCCTATGTACAGGAAATAAAATAATATAAGGGCCAGTCTTTACTTATTATTTATATATACATATAAAATTTATATATGTAAGGGATTAAGAAATTTTGTTCAAAATCAAGAGGATTCAACTCCAGAGTCCAGAGTCCTAAAATAATCGCGTCCTCGGCTCAGCTTTTATGGACTATTTCCGGGTTTTTTTTTCGACTGACGAGTAGTATGCAAGTACTGTAAAATCAAAACCGTACTACCTTGATTGTCCTTGATCCTTGAAGTGCTACATATCCGAATTCGACGAAACGCACTTTTGTTTCCCGTTCAACTTTCAAGGCTACAAGGATTTCAATGGCTATTGGGCCTTGATCGAAAATTTGAACGTGAAAACTCGAAGTAGTCTTGAAAACTTGCCTGATGGTAAGATATACTGCAGACCTGAAAAACTATAGTATAAGAGATATCGGACAGTTCTTGCAGGGTAGATAACTTACCGCCAACCTTCATCCTCTCTATCCCCATCTCACCAAATTTCACGCCCCTCTCGTTGAGGCTGCCCCTGACTGACAAGACACCACGAGAGACTCTGGAGGAATACTGCTGTTTGTCAGTTACCATAAAATAGAAGTCTCGAACCCTTATTATATGATAAGACTAGCACTAAATTGAATATGCGACAATATTTACATAGCGACCGTGTGCGGTGGCTGGTGAGTGGTGACACTGTTTGAACTTTGACTGTGGTCTATGAGTCTGTGTCCAGTGTCACCTCAGATGATTGATGAACTGATGATGTGATCTACTGTGCTTCCAGGCCTCCAGGCTCCAGGGAGTCCAGGGTGGCTCCAGGCTCCAGGCTCCAGAGAGTCCAGGGCGGCTCCAGGCTCCAGGCCTCCAGCAACTCTCTTCAAGAGTCCGAGCGAGGGGCCGAGGGGCTTAAAAGTAAAAGAGCAAGGGGCCCGGGGGTCCAGGGCCCGGGCCAGCGGCCACCGCCCTTTTTTGTATAAATAAATTCTATTTTCAAACAGAAATAGTTTTTTAAATTCATCGGGATTGAATTAAACCGCGGAATATCGCTGTGCAACCTAGTTTTTCCAACTCAGTCGCTATGATGGAAACCATATTTTAATGGCTCTCTATAGAGTTACTTAGAATCGTCGACTGCAGAGCTCTCGCCGCGATAGCTATGTAAATACGTATATGCATGTTTGAGTATGTGTGCACACTTATATTTATGATAAACAGTGATTTTATACCCATATAGATACATTCAGATACACATATGCTATATTCGAATGATTTTTAATAAATACATATACACAAATAGACGTAGCTAAGCAATCTAAGACATCAACATGCGTTTACCATTGCATGCAGGCAAGTAGAAACCCCTGCACATAACCTATAAATTCACCCTGTAAATATTTTCCAACCAATCAAATATTATTACCAACATGAGTATGCACCTATTTAAATAATGTTACGCTGCTTTCAGTCGCTGATATGAAGTATCTGCGTTAATGTCCCACGAAATTCAATTCAATGGTGTACACCATGATATTCTAAATCTTCCTTGATAGTGTTATAAGCTACCATATGTATTCCTATGGTCTTAGAGATGACCAAAATGTGTTTACTTAAGAGCATTCAGGTGTCTTTCATAGTATACATGCGTTTGTGCAACAAAAAGCTCGACTCTAGTTTTGACGAAGGTGTGTGTTTAGAGGGCTGTATCTCGGGAATACTAGTCCGATCGGGCCCAGATTAAAACACAGATCCTGGAGTTTCCTCCTCTAGAAACTGAGCGAACCCCCTTGTTAAAACTTAAAAACAATGGTTTATTTGTCGTGACAAGGGAGTAGGGACCCGTGGGCCGTGAGACTATACATACATTATGACAGCATACTTGCAGATATAGAGATGTACGCTATAACTTGTATAGAAATTTAACTTACATACGGTATATAGTACTATAGGGCCATAATATAAGGTAATAGCTTGATTCAAATATGTGTCAGTATATGCGATATATTTGTTTGAGACTATGAGTGTAATACTGAATTGGGTGTTGAACGGGCAAAGTCTGTTCATTGGAGGGACAAATATACCAGCGTGAAAGTAGATAAGTACAGTGTCAGCTGTATCACAGCAGAATAGTGTATATCAGGTAGGTAGGATCACAGCCAACCTCGCTGTTAAACGATTTTGAAATGAGCTTTATGATTGAAAGCATGCTAGCAGGATACATCAGCTCGGCTCTTGACAACGATAGAAGTATTTCTGGCATTCCAAATTGCCAATATTCCGTGAACACAGGTCTTTAGCGTCAGGTAGTGCAAAAGCATTTCTGGATTCTATTACCGATTGATAAGATACTATTTGCTCTACAAATAATCCTCGATATAAATTCAATGCCTCAATAAATTGAAGCTCATAAATCTGCATACAGATTCTGGGCGGGCCTTAATGCCGAGATAAGGTAATGAGTTAAAGTAGACCCCAATTCTAACTTCTGGAGTTGAATAGGGCGGTAATTCGGCCACGAGAGCCTTGGCAAATATTTATTAGTGGTCAGAAGGGCCTGTTGACCAACATTGAAACTTTGCTATAGTTCTAGTCTCAAATACAGGTACTAGAGGAGCATTAAAACCCTTTTTGGCGAACACGAGGTTCACGATAGCACAGAATGGATGACATGTATAGCATTTCCTTTAATCACATTCGTACTGTTACTAAACTATCCCAAAGCCAGCCACACAAAACAATTCTAAAATAATCGCTTGCTTCGGTTGGTCTTGTTCGATGACTTCTTATCCAGTCGGTACGCCATCTCCGGATTGGGCTTCACCATCGTACCCGATTTGTGTCGGATCTTGTGTGTAACCTGTGCAATGTTCATTTACAAATCAGATTTACTTGAGAATGAAGCAAACACCAAGTCACACGCGTGACATCATATCTATTGCGTTAGAGTAGATGGAGATTACCTTAACGGAAACGTTTCATAGCAATATAAGGCTATAAATAGCCAGAAGATAGGCATAATAGACCTAAAACACCAGAAAGGACTGAAAGTTTCTGAGAAGTTCAGATATATATATATATATATTTATATATATAGACCAACCTTTCGTGTCGAGGACGAAGTCTTATCTTTCACATCCGTGAATACGAAATTGTACTCAAATGTATCCTTCTCTCTGAAGAAAGGACGTTTCACCGGTTTCTCCTCAGCGTCTTCTGCACCATCTGTCCAACAGAAGCGCCAGGTACGCGTTTGCAATAGAATTATGATGAGTAAGTGAAGACATTTAACACACAGAGGTTTACACATATATATATACATAATATATATACATAATAATTTAAATATCTACAGTCATTCATTTATATGCTTACACATATCGCACCTTCGGCTGCTGGTTCAGCTGGTTCTTCGAGATTGTCCGCAGTTTCACCGTCAACTGTTCCATCATCAGCCGTAGCTCCTTGTGCGCTGCCGCCCCATAGATCTTGATCGTGAATACAATAAAAAGGTCCGATTTAGCTTCTATGCACGTGAGTCTGAACATTAATATGAATGTGAATAGGTATCTTACAGACAATGAAAATACGAAGATACGAAGATACGAAGATATGAAAGTATGAAGATAT